ACTTGTATCACAGCATTGTTAGGTCAAATCAGAAAATAATCATTTGAAACGCATAATCACAATGTCGAGTGTAGAGATAAAATCTAGTAAGGTTGGTATTATCCACTTGGGCTGTTTTCCGCTTGCTACTCTACAATACTGCTCTTTCTCCCAAAATATATTTCCCACTTTTCTTTTTACGTTGTCCAAAACTAAACTTCACATTCATTGCAAGGAAATGAATGAATGGTTGACATTATTTTTCTTCTCTACAAAAAAAAGCACAACCACACAATTTCACCTTTTTTTGAACTCCGCAAAAAAGCAAAAGAAGTTTAATTGTTGACAGGGGTAGAGTGTTCTATTAGCTTTTAAGAAACTTTTTGAATAAGTTCTGTTTGGTGGGAGGGTAATGTTTAATACTTCATCCCAAAATAAAGTTTTGGTTTATGCACGTTGTTGGACTGAAGTTATTTTCCATTTATATATTTGAAAATTGGTGAAGAATTTAAAAAATAAAAACTACTCCTACCTTCTAGTAAATTTCTTCTCGTTTTGACTTGCCACAGTTTTATAGAGGAATCATCTTCAACTGAGCGTCTCCTCCCCATTTCCTTCCTCAAATTTACCAATTCACCCCTAGCCCTAATTGTCTTTAACTATCCCTTGTTGCACAAAAATCAAGATATTTGGGATATTGGAAAATTGTAATGATGAATGATCTAATTACAAATTTGTTCATGAGTTACATCAATTTAAAGAAGGCGACAAGGGATCTTGAATCAAGGTCAAATCTGGTTGCAAATATGCATTATAATCTGCACAAGCAACTGTTGAGATCTGATCAAGTCATGCAAGGATTGCAAGCAATTGCTCAAGATCTTCTATATCCACAATGGCCACGAGCACTAGTCTGACATGGTCACTATCCTCAGCAGCCATCCAAACCCCAATTGATGGATGATAATCTCTTTCACCTGCCAACTGTTGGTGACACTCTAGGAGGAGAAGAAAGTGTGATTTAGAGGAGAGGGAGGGTGTGGTGGTTAGGTGGTTTAATCGGGGTAGTCATTATGATTCGGAGTCTGGAATTTCAAAGAGGAAGTAGAGAGTGTTAACTAAGAAGATAGAAGAAGCTAGGATTGATGTGAGAACAAAGAGCTTAGATCAAAGATTACATGAGAGTGACATGTGAGGGGAGTAAATGGGGGGGTTGGAGTTGGAACATTAAAAAACCAAAAAAGAATGGAGTTGGAAGGTAAACTTGTCTTTTCATTTTTGTCTACTTACCATTTTAAAAACAGGAAGAAAGATATAGAACATAACAAAAAAGAAAACAAGAAGAAGGGTACGGGACAAGGAGTATATTATTAAAGATGTTCTACAAAACAAGTGGTGTTTTGACCAAAAGATCAATGAAAATGTAAAAGACAAAAGTTATTTGATCCAGTGAGTAGTGAAAGGGAACATTATTTTGGGACAGAGTACAAAATAATTATTTGTACACCAAGCACCAATTTTCAAAACAAAGTTACAAACAAAATTGTCATGTGAGCACAAAAAAATGTCTATGTAGTTCAAAAAATGATAGTATGGCTTAAGAAGTGAAAATAGAAGCCTGCAGAGGTGATTCAGGGGATAGAGAGTGCATTTTGAATACATCCAGAATCTCCATTTTAATGCACAAATTAGTTTGTCATATAAATAAGATGCAACAGTTCAAATCTAGATAAGTAAAGTATCATCATCCTTGCACCATTTGATAATAGAACGAGCTATCCACAAACCCCATGTCACAAGACACTAAGATGCATGAAACAATAGGTCAAATACCTTAGCATAATAGTCCTTCCAAACACGACGAGCAATCTGGTGCCCTCCCAAGTCAAAAGCCTTGAACTTGATCTTCCCAATACTCAGCTCCTCGGATGTAGGGTATTGCGTTGGTTGATGTTGAACCAATCTCTGCCCAATTCCAACATTAAAACACAAAAAAGATCGCATCACCCAAACCAATCAATCAAAATGCTCCCAAGATCTTCAGAGGAACAAAAATGACAATTTAAGAAACAACCCAATACTATTTGCAATAGACAATTAGATATCAGAGAACATTCATGAATAGATGAAAAAAATACTTGACGATTCATCAGCCGTAATAGATCGATCATACAAAAAACAGTCGAAACCTTCAGATTACTAGATTAGACCAAAAAGAGCTCAAATCGAATAAAGCAAAATCACAGGCTTCTAGAGAATTGAAAATTGTTTCAGACAATCGGAATATCCGAGCAGCAAACGAAGGAAACAGGAGAGCAAAATACAGGAAAGGGGGGAAAAAGACCTCATCTTTGAGCATGTGAAGCAAGGTGGTTTTCCCCGCATTATCAAGGCCGAGGAACAAGATCTTGGCCTCCTTCTGCCAGAGACCGAGAGAGGCAAGGATCCCGTAAAACCAATCGACCAAGAACATCTTTCCTTGCGCAAGCTACGATCCGAGGGAAATCGAAAGTCCGATCCGAGGGAAATTAAGGTCCGATCCAGAGAAATCGAGGAACGCGAAGAAGAAAGAAGAGAAGGAATCGGGCGGATGAGGGGAGGGTAGATCGACCGAAAAGGCTTAATAGGAGGAGGAGGAAGAAAAGAGAAGAATTGATACTGGTAAATTGGTAAATGTGTTCGTATGTGAAGAAACGGCCAAACCACAAACCGGGTGCGTAGGGCCGGCCCACAAAGAGAGAGAGAGGTAGGTTAGGTAGGTTGGAGGAGGCATGTGGTGTGGACTGTGGAGTTACCTCAATCACATCTCAACAATTTTACTCCCTCATCCCAATCAAAAAAACAACTATATTACATGCCAAACATTTTGATGATTCATACTAACACAAAATACTGGTGGGTTAACAAAAAAAATTACACTAACATTTTGTGTCTGTCTGAACTATCACTCTAGCATTACACTAACACAAAATGAATGTGCATATCTGCAGTGTACAAATTGGGATACAAATAGCTTAATCCAAAAAAAAAATCATCCCCATCCTATTGAATCTTTAGAATCCGACAGATAGTCACTTACGCCCGAAGGTTGTGGATACTCGTGCATGTCGGGTCCGGATTTCAATTATTAAGCGTTTATGTGGGTTAGGCTTGAATTTAAAAAAATGTCATAATGTAGTTATTTAAGTCAGTAGATATTTTGATCAAGTCTATCGCACACTTCTTCTATTGACATTGATGTCGGTGGGCGTTGCATAATTAGCTATGCAAGGAGTGCTAAGATGGTAAAGACCCGAATTTGATTCCTAGCAACTGTGTTGAGAGGCAACTATGTTAAGTATAGAGCTTCTGTAAGTTCCAAGTGCATGCTCTATTACAGAATATTGTACTATTGTACATAGTTTCCTTGTAGGAATATGATTTCTTGTACTCCGTAGGATTTTATTCCATATTTTGTTTGGCAAAAAATTCATTTCGTAAATTCTACATGGTATCGGAGCTATTCTGGGATCATACTTAAAACATACTCCCTCCATCCCGGTGTTTTCATCCACTTTCATTTTGGCTCTTGGACCAAGGAAAATATAGTACTCCGTATGACCAATGTACCCTTGCTTACTACTTAGACAAACTAATCCCTGTTATTGACTATCTGTCAAATATGGACTAAAAATACTTTTGTTAATCAATAACTTATCACGGACACAACTCAATTAACTACTGATCAATTGTTCATCAATAACACAACTCAAGTGAAAATTTCACTTTAAAAAATCTTTCAAAGAACCTAAATTAAAAAGATAAAGTTCAAACACGACACAAAAAGATGAGAAAACTTAGATCCACCATCTACTTCAATTTGATCGAATCATGACAGGAGGGCACCATCTTCGACGGAGAAAAACTTAAATCTATTGCTTTGCATTTGTGGATGCCGCGGAATAGATCTTTGAGTGAGAAAAGCTTGGGGATCCATTGCTTTTAAATTTATGGCTCGAGGACAACATGCGACTGATAAAAGCTTAGATCCAGCACCATCTTCATTAAATCCATAGTTTTGATTCATCCGTCACTCAATGAGTAAGGTAGCTGTTGAAAAGTATGACGATGAAGGATTTAGAGTACATTATTGAAACAAGAAGGAAGAGAATGGATGAAGAGATTGTGGCTTTGAGTCTCACAAAGAGAGGACGGTGAGAGGAAAAAAGCGAGAGACGTAATTGGGGGCAAAAGGGTCACTAGACCTGGCAATCGGGTCAATCGGTTTGGTTCTAGTTCGAGTCTTTTCGGTTCGGGTCTCTTGCGGATATATGTTATAATCAGTTCGGGTCGGTTCAGTTCGGGTCAGTTCAATTCTGGGTTTCTTTCGGTTTGATTGGTTTTCGGTTCGGTTTCGATTCCAGTTCGGGTTTGTATCGGTTCGGGTTTATATCGGTTCGGGTTTGTATCGATTCGAGTTTGTATCGGTTTAGTTTTATATTATTTCATTAAAATATGTTTTTTTTAGAAACACATCAACATATGTAAAAATATATCGGCAATTCTTTTTCTCCAAGTTCATTTGATAAATGAAATATTAATAAATTTGATCCATTTCGAGTCTAATCGGTTTCGGATTTAATCGGTTTGGGTTAAGTCGGGTTCGGATCTGAATCGGGTCTGAATACATTCGGTTCGGTTTCGGTTCGGTTCGGATCATTTCGGGTGTTCGGTTCTATTTCAGTTCATCAGTTTTCGGGTCAATTCGGGTTCGGTTTTGGGTTATTCGGTTCGGGTTATCGGGTCCAGGTCAGTTTTGCCAGGTCTAGACACTATAGGATATTTAGTTTACCATATATAAGGAAAGTGGACGAATACACTGGGACAACCCAAAAAGGAAAAGTGGACAAAAACATTGGGTTGAAGGGAGTAGTATTTTTCGTCCGTCAAAATTAGCAATTGTACATTGCCCGATTGCTTAGTTTCAGATGATGGTTCTTCCTTCCGAGTCTGCTGGTGCCATCTCTTTGTCCGTCCAAGTTTCCAATCGCAGTCCCTTCGTTCAGATTTTGTCTTCGTCCGGGTCTTTGTCCAGATTTTGTCTTCATCCAGGTTTCAGGTTTCAGATCCCTTTGATCGCAGGTCCAATTATCTTCGTATGTCGATCCATATCGTTGCTCTGTCCAACAACCATTGTTCGGCAGCTACACATCCAACGGCGTCATGACAGTCACCGAAAGTGCCAAGAAGATAAGATTGATTCATGATACGTCTTCCATATATTATCTCCACTTGTCTGAAGGTCTTGGTAATTCCTTGACCAAATATCTTCTCAAGACTAATAAATTTGATATTTGGGAAAAGGCAATTCGTAATGCTTTGGGCGGTAGAGGCAAATCAGTTTTTCTATCGTCTACCGGAGTACCCACCGATGATCATGAGATGTCTACATGATATGCTAGTAATCAAATCATATGCAATTGGATATTCAATGGTGTGGATGAATCCATCCAGCCTAGTATTGTCTCTCATAATATTGCTTTTGAGTTGTGGGATGATCTCAAAAAGTAGTACAGTTGTAGTAATGGTCCTAAGATTTATCAATTGAAGTATAATCAAATACTTTGCGAAAAAGGGTCTGAGTGTCCTGGCGTATTACAATTTTTTCATCACCCTCCGGAACCAGTTGTATGGCTCCACAGATCCTATTGGAGGGTGCACTTGTGGCGCTGGAGCTGCCAATCGTGCACGTGTTGAGCGAGATAGGACGATTGATTTTCTGTTAGGGTTTGATGATGAACAATTTGGTTTGCTCAGATCTCAACTCGTTGGCATGGTACCCGTCCCAGACTTGGATAAAGCATATTATCTTGTGTCACAAGAGGAACGCCACAAAACCATTGTTTGTAGTCGGGATGACCATACTGATTCAGTCGTGTTTTCCATGCAACGCCCAACCGCTTCCAAAAAATGTCTTGTTCGCATTGTAAGCGTACAAATCACACTAGCACTAGCGCTATTACTGTAGGTAACGGTCAATTCTTACCCGTAACACACACTGACTCGAGTAATGTTTATACACTTTAGTTGTAAATATCATCTCCATTTCCTTCACCATGCCCCTTCCTTTTCTCTAATATATTATGTCCATTATTTTACGAAGAATTAATATTATACCATTATATTTAATGCCAATACTTTTAGATAGAAGACTGCCACGAACCAAGTGTGATATATGGCCCTCTATGAGCATGGGCTATACGGACATTGTTCATCCACTCTAAAATCGGTTTAGGTTTAAAGGATAAATTTGCTTTTAATTACATAATCATTAACCTCTTGAATCTATTGAAGATTTTAGATCAAATGACTATGTTAGTAGCTAACTGATGAAGAGTGAATGAGTTGTTTTCCATTGGATTGGGTGGGTTGACCAAGAAATGTTCCTTTCAACTTATGGCTTCTTCTAAACCCTTGATTTGCTATAATGCTCTTTTTCCATAGAACCCTTTTGTAGTTTGTTAGATAGATGTGCAAAATCGCTTCATTGAAACTTTTATGGATTGAAATTTTGATTTAGAGAACCAATTTGACCAAAAATTCAAACTTATAATCGAGAGCTGAAAATAGATTTTATGCTCTAACAACACTGAGTTTTCTACAATTTGTTTTATTTACATTTTTAATTTAAGGGCAAAATGGGTACTTGCCTAACAAAAGTAATCTCAACTTTAAACCCGTGACATTACAACAGATAATTGATTGGACGGCTTTGTGATTATTTTAGACAAATTTTCTACGGAACAAATAACACCCCAATCGAGAAATAGCACAATATCACCATCATCCTTGGTTGTTTACTTACTTTACTACCTTTCCCTATAACTAAGGTAAAATATAACATCGGCTAAAGAGATAAAATCAGTCTCAATAAAATCATATTCCCAAAATAATTCCTTCAAAAGGCATGACGAGGCAAATCCACAAGAACATACATGTTGCAATGTCTCACCTTTATATCTTTATGTATGTACCATTAAGAACAAACATGTGATTAAAAAATTAAAAATTCATAATATATGCCATCAGTTTAAGCTTTGGGCATCTCCGCGGCAAAAGAAAAAAAGAACACAAGTTCTAAAAAGATCAAAAAAAATCAATAAAAGTTTATATATTACCTCATGTTTATATATTCACTCATTGCCAAACTCAAGAAAGATTATTACCTAAAAGTCTAAAACATTATGGGAAAGAACATGAAAACAAAACTTCTCTTTTCCTACTTGGCAACAAAAGCCAGTACAAATTCTATAAAAGTTGAACCTCCCAAAAGATGGAACCCAGAATAATTACGCAAATCACCTTAAGGAATATTGATGACACAAAGGCGAGTGAGTCCCTCCTAAATCATTTGGTAGTTCGCCATGGAGCTTTAGACAGCAATTGGCTCACTAGCGGGGCTAGATGTGTCAACTTTAACCTGTCATTTGAAGGAATTCGCACAGGGTTATATAGGGAAATATATTTTCTGGCACTAAATGCTAGACTTTCAGTTTATATCAACTTATCAAGAAAAGGAAAAGAAAATATGCAGTTTGTGCATTCACATTTTGTTGGTGCAAAAGATGTACTGTTATATATACCAATTAACAATTGGAGAGAAACTTTGTTCATAACCTGAGGAGGATTCCCTCACTGCCTGCAATTTATACATTGCAAACATGTGAAGAGATAATGTAATCAATTTGGCTTGTCAACTTTATGACTCTAAGATACCTCCAATCCAGATAGAAAGAGAAACTGTAGCTTATCCCAATTGTGTGACTTTGGTCACGCACTCACGCCTATTTCAGTCGCACGGCAGAGAGAGCATACACGGCACTGACTTGGACCATCAATCCAATGTGGAAGCTATGTGGGCCCTAAGGTTGCATCGACTGAGTAGGCGACGGACTTGAGTATTAACTTTATGATAAATCATTCATCAAACGACAGACACAACGTTTAAGCCCAAATAGAGCCAGTGCCACGTATGCTCCTTCCGTTAAAACTTGGACAGATTGGTTATGGTTTACGGGTGGCCCAATTGTAAATAAGTGGAAACTTTAGGGACCCAGTTGGTATAAACATGTAACCAAAGCATGAGGGGCCAAAACAACACAATGGCATACCTGAAGTATTAAATTTGAGTTTAAGCATATATAATTGATCACACAAACAAACAATCTTTGACATAATTAGTCGAGTGGGGGGCGGTGTGGATTGAGGTAGGTGTTTAGTCCAGTAGAAGTAGGCTACCAAAGAATGAAGTTTAGAACTAGGCCAATACATTGCCAAAAACATAAATAAAATTAAGGGAAAAGATGCATTACCTTGGCTGATTTGAACAGTTCATCAAGCACCTCAGACAAAGTTGGATGTGCATGGACTGCTAATTTAATATCCTATACAATGCAACCAAAGCAATTAATGGAATGACACAATATAAAGCTCTTGTCACAGATTATGTTATATTTACACAGTTCAGTCCCCGTTTCATGGTTAAATAGTTGATTTTACAATATCAATGATGGAGCAACTACTTTAACTAGTCATTATCTCATTATATTTTTCATGCAAGTGGAAATAATCTATGATTATGAAAGTAATTTATTGAATCTCATTATTCCTTTATAAGAAGGTTCCTAGCAAGAAAGGCTTTCTACCGCCATGCTTTTCTTGAATTTCTTCCACAAAATAATGTTAAATAATTTCATTGAAACTAAATGTCATGTAATCAACCCAAATTAATTGGGATTAAGCTGCTGATGTTGTTATGAGCAGAAAAAAGGTGCTGATGGTACACTATCCACATTTAAACATAGTTTTATCCTTTTGACAAGTGCACGGTCAAAAGATGAGTCTGGCGCAACTCATGAAGTATTTTCGGTCTTTCCTTATGTCCCGGAGATCCAGGGTTCAGATCCATCCCCCTTGCCAAAACAAAAGTGAAAGGTGGCCTAGAGTATGCCAGGTCCCATGATGTTTAGAAGGAACACAAACCTGTATGCGGGTCCCCATAGCTATGGCATTGGAAGCTTCATGAATGAGGTCTGCAGCATGCAATCCAATGATATGAACTCCAAGGATCTCACCATTGTCTGGTCTATAGATCAACTGCAGAACACAACATATAAAGACTTTTCAATGTTACGAAATGATCCAAAAACAAGGTGAAGAATAAGATGATTGCAGCAGCATAGTTTAAGAACCAATCTGACTAACAGAAAACCATTGTCTCACCCTGGCAAGTCCTTCCCCTTCATTCTCAGCTAGAGCTTTTGTGTTAGCTTTAAAGCTAGTCTTTGCCACTCTTATTTCAAATCCTTCCTTCTCAGCCCTTTCCTTTGCTTGAGGCTGAAAATGTGTTGGGACTTCATGCTCAATTGAAGAATAACGCACTAAGATGCAATAGCATTTTCTCAGAAGAAAATTTGTTTGCACAGTTTTACTAGCAAATCAACTCAGCTTTTAAAAAAAATTTACTTCCCTTAAACAGTTAATGACCTATACAATAAAATATTGCAGATTGCAAGCTATATTTACAAAATGTTTGCAATTCATAACACATACATGTTAACAAATTTTAAACTGGAAACATATTGAATGAATTCTTCACTGACATGACTTAAACTATCCCGTTACAACAATGATAGGCACACATCCCTTCAACCATGCCATGCCCACACTCTAACATGCATGGTGGAGGCCACTAGGATCCACTGAGTAACCCCCCCCCCCCCCCCAAATGTGAGGGAGGGTATGTACCTATCTTTTTATCTTGTTACTACTAAACCAGATATAGCTTATGCAGTCAGTGTTGTAAGATGCATGTCATTTCTCAATTATTAGTAAGTCATTCGAATCCCAAAATACTTAAAGGGGTTATTGGAGGCGAACAGATGTCACAATGATATTATTGCTTACTCTGATGCAGATCGGGCAAGGTCTCCTAGTGAAATCAACATATTGGTTTTGTGTTTTTAATGCAGGTAATCTTCTTTGAAAAGTAAGAAATGAGACATCATTGCATAATCAAGTGTTGAGACAGAGTAAAGGGATATGGCCCTTTATCCAAGTGAATTCTATGAGATTAATTTGTAAGAATCAAAGCATATCGAGATTCAGAAAAAGTAATATATAAAGAAATCAGCATGTCATTTGCCATCAATCAATAGCTCAAAAAACTAGTGCATTGGTTTTGACAAACCATAGCCCACTACTTCCTTTAGACGCTGGCAATTTCCCTTTTGGTTTTAAATATTACTGAGACACTTATATTTTTTATGTAAACATGGTTAATGCCTCTTATCTCTACATCCACGACATACATACAATGATAAAGAAGGCCAAATGGGTGGCACTGTGGCAGTTCACAATGACCTCAAAAAATAAATGACACCATTTAAGAAACAAAATGTCAAGCCATTGATAAAATAAAGGGAAAACCAACAAACAATAGGGAAAAAGACTACAAACAGTATGATTGTATGGTATCTGGGTTTCAAATGTTTGAAATTTGAAATCATACCTCCGTCAGTCCAACCATACTGATTTCAGGATGAGTGAAGCATGCTGCTGGAATGCTTAGATGGTTCAGCACATGGTCCCTCCCACTAACTTGCTCAACAACTAATAAAAAGCCAGATTCAGTTTCACTACACATGCACTTGCAATTGAAGCTCAATGCAGAGCAGCATAAAAAACTATAAAAAGACTAATGTTTGTTTTCTATACCATATTAATCCATTATTACCAGAGATTCCTTGTGCGCTTGCGGCATGAGCGAGCATCATTTTTCCATTTGCATCACCAATGCAGTACAAGTGAGGAACCTAGCATCAGAGTATCAAATTTTAGAACCCCAATTATTTATAATGTTTAAAAAGAGAATCAAAATTAAGAAAACAAGCAGTAGCACACCAATTCCCCATTTGCATCAAGGACTCGCATGCGCTCATCAACAGGAACGAATCCACGCACTGTTTGAACATTGATCTGCATAGCATTTCTCAAGACTGTTATTGGAAGTGCTCAATGCAGATTTTGAAGAAGAGATTTTTGGAAAAAAATTATCTTGCAACTAACATTTTCCAAACCAAGTCCTTGTGTAAAAGGAGCCCTTCCAGTTGCAATAAGAGCTGCATCTACCTGCATGGCATCATATATTTCAGTTCATAATTTCTACAAATATAGGAAGAAGAATCACAAACAAATTTCAGAGAAAAGAAATAGAATATTTGTAGCACAAAAAAGGCCATCCTTTTATTATATTCTTTGTTCGTCTATCAGTCATGCATCCATTGCCAATGCATGGTAAACGAATCATTATTGACCATGAGTTAGCTTGGGATAAGCAATGGACTAAATCAAAATGGCATTTTAAACCTCTTTTGTTTCTTACTTTGTATGACTTTTGTAGTAAATGCAACAATATATCAAAGGTCTAACCAAAACAGTCTCTATTCTTAGTGGGATAGGACAATGTGCATCATGCCTACCCCACCGCAGAGTCGAATGGGGTTGGGATTTAACGGAGTTGTTGTGTTAGAGATCACTGAGATAGAGGAAGAAACCCTCTGTTGCCCGTGGCTAAAAGTGGAAGAACTTCAAATCCTATAGTCCGTGAATAATTAGGAAGAATTGTTTAATTGCTTCAATGATGGTTTTATTCATGAATATAACCCCTTCATTTATACTACTCCCAAGAGTCTTGGCGAGCAAGTTAATAGAGTTCTAACCTAATACAATAATAATAATGATAATAATTATCATTATTATTATTATAATTATAATTATATATTAAATCCTAGATCTGTAAAATGTTGTTGCTTATCACCCATGATCAATGCATTTTCATCCTAGATCCGTATCATGTTTGTTTACCCACTTTCCCTTATTGGATTTACCAAAAATCATTTCCTTCTTACTTGATTTCCTTTTTTTTAGTAATGAGCATGTGGTTTGTGGCTCACAAGATCTCACTCATCTAAACAAATTCCAACAATACTCTTTTTACACTTTTCTTAAACTCTGCAAAAGCCAAAATTGATAAGGTTTTTTGAGCAATACTTGATGTAATCTACATCAACTAACACAATTAGACCTATGCATAAGACAACATGCAAATCACCTCTAGAATATCCTTTGGTTCCTTTGTCTTTGCATCAATAAGCTCAATGGACACTGGTTTTCCATCCTTTGCTGGCGTGATCTGCCAGAGCATATAGAGAATACAACAAACCAATAATTCATTAGAAACGATATAAATGCCACATTACAAAAAGATATGTGACATCAAGTACCTTGCTGGCAAATACACCAGTATGATAGTCAATCTTCCGTGGATTGATGAGAATTCGCTGTGCCAGCTTCCCAATTTCAGGATCAAACCCAGGCATAAGCTGATCTAGAGCTTCAATAAATGTAACCTGTTCAATTGACAGTTGTCAGCATGCAGACAAGGTCTACTCTCATTTTATTGTCTTATAGAATCAATAAAAAAATTAGTTAGCACTTTTAGGAGATGTTTAATCAAGGTCAGCATGTAGGTACAAACGTACAGTTCCAGTTCTGAACTATGGCCAAGACTAGAAATCAGATCTATTAGAATGGCTATCAAGTAACAAAATAACAAATTATAATAACAAAAGAAATTACTAGAAAACATAGCAATACAGCTTCATGATAGCTGATTTATTATTTCTCACTGCATAACTATATTTCAAAATAAACTACCAGAAAGCATAAAAATAGGTTTGACAAAGGTATGCTCCATCTTGCCTTGTTTTTTCCTGGTAGAACAAAACAAATAGCTTGAGTAAAATAGTCTAAGAAAAAAGTAAAGATACCTCACTTCCAAGTGCAGTGTATACGTCACTAAATTCAAGGCCAATATAGCCACTTCCAATAATAGCAATCCACTCAGGAACAAGTTCCAATTTGAGTGCATGATCACTTGTTATAACAGTCTTACCTACAGTTATGCAGAATTAGTGTCATTTTATATGTATGCCTCATGGGGCTCTTCTCAAACTGCTAAAAAAAGTTTTTACATAGGACTGAGTGTTTTAATCATAGAGTCCGTTAATTGCAAGAAACCTTTCATTTTACGCTACAACTTTTTAAGGCTGAAGATGACCTAGTAAAGAATCATAGTAGTCCAAACTCTAGATAAAGATTAATGAAAAATCACACTTACCATCAACTTCAATTCCTTTTGGCACAAAGGGGACAGACCCCGTAGCTATAATAATATTTTTTGCTGTTACCACAGTATCTTCAGACCCAATCTTCACTTTTTGTGGACCCTGAAATAAAAATATGCACAATATAAATATAGAATGTGATCATATATGGAACCACATAGTAAATCAGTGCATCCAACTCTTTAGGCATAACCTACCATTATCATACCAGCTCCTGTCAATATATCAACACCAAGAGCTTTTAATGAATTAGTCAGGTTGTTTCGAATTTTTGATGCCAAGTTATTGGCATGATCAGCAACTGCTTGCCTATCATATCCAGCTGCAGCGACCTATCATTAACATAAGTAATCCAGCATGTACAAAATCAGAGTGGATTTTAATTCCCTAGAAGAAATTAAGAAAAATTATTATAGAAATAAAGATCATGAGCTCTACAAAAGGATTGAGGTTTGAGAATATCAAGAATAAGTACCTGTAAGCCAAAAGACTTCATGTGGTGTTCATTTTGAAGCTCTCGCATGCGTCCACTTACTGCTAGTAGGGCTTTAGAAGGAACACAACCCCTGTTCACACATGTTCCTCCAACGACATCGCCTTCAACAATCGCAGTTTTTAAGCCCTATAAGGATTTATGTAACATTACTCATTGATCATTTACAATAATGATTAGGTGTTGTGTAGTTTCTCCCACTTTGCAACAATCATTAAGGGATGGGCTTGATAATATGACAAACAACAAATCAAGTAACTGATGTTCAGTCCAAATACAAATCTGCATTCCAGTAGAGCCTTGTTTGAAATTCTATTCACAAAAGTTAAGATGCACTTCAGAACTTTGTACAGTTTGTAATGTATGATTTATAGAAGCATCCCCTACTAAAGCTCAATAACTAATTCAGTCTAGAGTGAGATAAAGTGCCATTTCTAAAACATTAAGCTATCAAACATCCACATTATTGGCTAGAAATAAGGAATGAAGAGAGAATGACTCGAGCTCTAACTCCATGTAAGCTTAAAAAAAATAAATTAAAAAAAAAATTATACAATTTCACCATATTGAGTTACTCCATATCATAGTGGCTGCAACTATCTGGGCAGATTAACCATTCAAGCTTAAAGTGTAAAAGTGATCATGCTAGGAATGTTATTACGAATTTTTTTTTAAAAAAAGATAAATTAATTTCACCTTCTCAACCGCGTGAAGAGCAGCACCATGACCGCCAACACCAGCGCCAATAATCAACAAATCATAATCAAATCCATGGGTAATAGACGGAGTGCCATTTCCCGACAAGGCCGATACCTTCTCAAAATGAGAGGGTTTCAAGAGAAGTGAATCTAACCGGGAAGAATGCAGCGGAGATTTCAACGATACGTTCCCGAATGCTTCCCTCCTCAGGCCGCAAGATCGCAGTGATCGCGGCACCAGGGAGCCATGAACCGCGGCGGCGCAGTTCGATCTCGGCACCGGAGCGGCGGAAGCAGAGTGAACTATCCCGTACTGCATATTTCTGGTATAGATGGAGGGGAAGGAAAGAGCGATGGGTATATAGAGCTCGGCGAAGCTGTAATGGCGTTGAGCTTCGAGAGATCCGTTGGATTGGCGGAGTTAACTAAGCTGCAGCAGTCGTTTGGTAACCCAAGTGTACACCACCACCTTCTCCATAACCCATTTTTATTTTATTTTTATTTATATATTTTTTTTAACTTTCTTGCCTTTTTTATGTGGACAAGAAAGGGGTGGTGGACAAATGGGGTACACCTTTAGTGTACCCCTAACATTTTTCTATCTTATTAATTTCGTTACAGTACAAACTTCAAAAAATTAAGGGACATCTTAGGTGGGGACTAGCCGCTTAGAGGGGTTCATTCGGATATATCCGATCAAATCTGATCCGGTTTTTCGGATATCCAAAATTTTTAAATTGATAAATATCTATTTCACGTTGATCCGAAAAAATACGGATATTCAAATTTTCTATATTCAAAATTTTGGATTGGAAAATCTTTTAATTTTCCAATTAAATTTATAAGTAAAAACATGAATTTGTTTAATTTAGAAGGAAAAAATATGATGACACAATTTAATATTAAAACATGTTTCATTCCAAAAATATAATAAAACATACTTTGTTCAATTCAGAAATGTTTGAACAAAAAGTATAAGCAAGACAAACCATCAAAATTATATATGCATATTAGTGTCATTATATAGATCTTGTGCAAATATTTTCAACGACATACTATTGGAAAATTAATGGCTTCAAAAATTTATGAACAAAATATATATTTTCATACAGACATTAAATGAAATAAATAAAATAAAAAAATTGCATTTGTTAAACCGTGGTCACGGCCACAAACAACTCCACTCATGCAGCAACATCACGAAACAGAAGAGCAGTGTTCATCCGTGTTCACCGCATACGTGACGTTGTCACGGTAGATCACAAACTCCCCTCCATGAGGCATTACACATAGCCCTACAAGCCGCTCGTATTGGCATCCATTCCGTGACCAATTGTGTTTATTATTGAGAAGGCAAATACTTGAACGAATAACGATTACGATGATTAAAGAAGTATGGCATTACAAGCCGCTCGTATTGGCATCCATAAACATCTTTTTCTTTAGTTGTGACTCTTATTACGCTCGTATCTTAAGAAATTCTAAATGTTTGACATCTCATTCGCTTAACAAATGAGCGCGTACTAGTGGAACCAAGCTAAATCGTGTTTAAATGTTATGTATTTCTGGTCGTTCGTTTGTTACGAGCATACTTTATTTAACATGTCCATGAAGAATAATCGAATAAATGGACTTGTTCTTAACAAATAATCAAATGAACAAGCAAACATTAATTTTCACAACATTGATTAATTAAAATCATAACGAAATACTGCGTGTACAAAAACTTTATTCCCTATTTTAAAAATTATTTCTTCTGAATCAATTTTAAACACACTTTTCCTACTTTTCAAAAACAATCATGGTCCATTTGGTACACAGAATTAACGGAATTAAAATTGATTTGAAATTTCAAATTTTATGAAATTGACTTGAACGGAATTAGATTTTCCATTTCCAATTCATTGTTAACACTACAAATTCCAAATACACACATTTTTATAATACCAAACACAAGAATTACAATTATTATCTCCCTTACTGATTCCATAATTTAAATTCCGTGTACCAAACGTAACCCGAGAATATTTCACAAACCCACCTGCATGCATATAGTTGTCGACCCAGCTTTTTTGAGGGCAAAATGTTCAAGCCATGAAAAGGAAAACGTCTCTGGTCCAGTCAATTGAGTTTAAAGCCGTTTGTAAAACCATAAAAAACTGGGTAGTTTTCATTACCCTAAACTCAGATAGCTCTTTAATAACCCTAAAACACAAATGACACGACCCTCATGCAGGCTTTTTCAAGTGTCTAAATCCGAAGCTACAGTATTAATTAAAAAAAAGAGAGAAACTAAGTGGTAACAGAAATTTGTAAGTTCAACTGCCAGAGACTAGGAGAAGCAGCCCATTGCAATTTCATCTTACTTTATGCCGACACGCGCTCAGAGTTCGTCCTGGAAAAAAAACGGGGAGAAAAATGGCGTTAGAAAGTTGGGGGCATTAGCATGGTCGTGATGACCCGTAAATGCTGTGACATTCAGAGTAGTCCTTACATGTACGTCTTCTGATTTCGCGTCATCATCATCATCATCATCGGCATCATCCTCTCCCTCATCAGCCTGAAAGAAAACACATTACTTCGTCAACAAGGACACAACAAGAAAACTAGAAATTGATTTCTGCAGTTTTTTTTTAAATTGAAAAAAAATATGCTAAATGCTTACATCGGAATCTACTGGATCATCGTCCTTGGAATCCTAAAGAGAGGAAAAAATTCAAGTCAGATGTTGAGAATGAGATGCCAGAAAAATAAACGAAGCTTCACAAAACCATATCCGGATAAAACAGCATTGCATAAATCATAATGTGTAGTTTATATATAATACCTCATCGGCGGCCTTCTTTTCTGCCTCCTCAAAAGCAGCCTTCTCAGCCTGTGAAATCAGAGAGCATAGAAGAAGAAGAATATTGAGACACAGCTTTTTTTTTGCTTTTCATTTTATAAATGTAGCTTGGGATGTCAATTCATACATCTTTGTTTTTGCCCCATGTCTCTTCGGCCAATTTCTTGGCATACTCGGGATCATCACACACCAAAACATTGTCAAACAAGGTTCCAGATTTCACCTTCAGATATCATATAATCTCAGTTAACATATAGTAAGTACCAGGGAAAAAAACAATGGTATGTGAACCATGAAAACATGGAAATAAGTTCTTTAAATATGCTCCAAACCTGCCACAATTCAATGCCCACATACTTCAAACTTGGGTAGACATATATATCTGGGTCATCCTTAAAGTCTGTAAACAAATAAGATGTTAGAATGTATGCCTACAACAACAAACCCAATAAAATCCTACAAAAAATAGGGTCTGGGGAGGGTATTTGACTATAATGGAGGAAAAATTGTCAACAGAACATATTGGAATATAGAAACTGTACCAGGGTTATCGATCATAGGAGCCTTCCACTTGCCCTTGTAGTTAGGGTTCTTAATTTTCTGCCAAAAGGATAAAAAACAAGTTAGGAAGAAGTATCATCAAGACAAAGATAGCAAGCATTACACAATAGTTAGGGATTGTTTGAACCTTTGCTTCCCATGGGCCCTTGTACTCTGGGTTAGGAATAGTAGGAGCAGTCCACTCACCATCCTCCTCATCATCCCAGTCGTCGGGCTATAGTGTTACCAAATTTAGTTAAGTACTGTTTCAAATTACTTTCCAAGTCTATGTACCAAATAGCAAAACTAAATAGCATGTACTAGATAGATCATCACCTTCTTCGCCTCAGTATCGGCTATCTCCTTGGGGATCTCATCGTAACCCTGTAGATAAATATTCATAAGTAATCAAGCATTACCTATTATATAAAAATATATATGTTATATACAAGCAACACAGCAAAATGTACCTCTGGCTTCTTATCTTCGGGATCAGGGATGAATTCCTTGTCATCCCAGTCATCAGGCTGTCAAAGTACATAGTAAGAGGCAATTTAGTAAAACAACATAAGTTAACAACAAGTCAAAGCTTTAATAACAAGAGGCAACTTACTTTCTTTGCCTCTGGATCCTTAATTTTCTTTGGTGGGAGGAGATTCCAGTCCTTGTACAAGCTACCGGTTTGCTTCTCCACATTATCAATGAGAATACTATAGGTTGCATCGGGACGGAGGATGAAGGTATAAACATGGGTCAGTTGGTCAGTCTCACATGGAACGTCCTTCTTGATCAAGTGGTTTGTTCCATTGTAGTTAAGAATGGCATGGACCTTTTTCGTGCTGTATCCACAGATGTCAGGTCCAAACATAATACTGCATTCAACCAAATGCTAAAGGGAATCAGTAACAATACAATGATCAAAACAGCTAAAATGAACTCTACTATTGCAAGTAGTACGATCATATAACCTGTATGGGGTATCACCACCAAATTTCTTTTGATCAACCTCACCACTGAGCAATTTCATGTACCCACCACCACAGTCAAGCTTTTGCTCATGCTTGACTGAGAATTGGAAAACAAGGGTCTTGTCCTTGTTGCTAAACTCAGGAAACTGAGCTGAGATGGCATAAAATCTATAGTCTTCACTGGTCTGAATACCTGCACATATAACACGTGATTGATTAATACTTATTCAAATACAACTCAAATCTTTGAATAAAACTGGGTAGACAGAAAAGGCATTCACCTTTATCATTTTGGTCTCCATTCCATTTACCAGATGTGTGGTTCCATTCTCCAGCCATGTTTTCATCTTTCTTCCAGTCAGAGGGGACCCACCGGTCCTTCCAGCCATCTAAAGAGCTCAACACGAATATGCATGAGCATAAAAACATGCCAATTCACAGTTCTCAAAAAAAAAAGCTTCACGCAGAGTTTGTCAAGCCTATATTCCAGTCAATTGTTGCTACTCCAAGATCACAGCAACATTGAACAAGAACATAGTATCATAGACACAAACACATGGATAATCAATGAAGCATACAATACAGTCTACACATATATTACACTTCACAGAAAATGCCTAATTTGAAGCAGTAACGGATCAAGGTACACATTGATCTGAACATTTCCGTTTAGATTTATCTCTAGCCAAACAGAAGTTCAGATCATCATTCAATTGCCTTTTGATGCAGCACTTACTTCAAGCGCATCCAAACATTTTCATTTTGCAAATCCATTTATCACAGAAACAGCCTAAACTCTAAACCATTCAGAGATCTATAATCTATAAAAAGAAACCAGAAACAACACATTGCAATCTGCGATCCATACATTACAGATCTACAATCAAATCCGAAACCAGAGCCGGATCAAATCAGAAACTAAAAATTGAAAGATCATCAACACAATCAAACGGATAACGAGATCAATGCAGTGCGAGAGCATAATTACCATCAAAACGCTCGTCGAAGATGACTTCGGCGGAGACGAAGGCGACGAAGAGACACAGCTGAACGGCCAGAGGGAGGAAGCTAGGGTTTAACCTTCTCGGAGCAGCCATTTTTCTGAGTTACTCTGATGAGGTGTGATGGGATCGCAGTGAGGCTATTTATCTGCGGGAAGTGCCGAAGTGTTTCTTCGGTTGGTACGTTTCGCTCAGTGGTGGAGACTGACGTTTTAGCTCGGATGAGGTGTACCAATGGAATAACGACACGTGGTACTTCGGGGTCACTGGTCTTACGTGGCGGATTTTGATTGGAGTTAACACGATGCCTGCTGGATGGATCAGCAACGACGGAAGTGAGTGCGTTTGGCGAAGCTTATACGGAGTACTCGAGTATATGGCGCTTTTGACATTCGTTTCACGCTTTCGTATTTAAAAAAAAAAGAAGTTAATTTTTCTATTTTTTTCTTATTTTTGTTAAAATTAGATCAGATCAATAAAAAAATTATTATTATTATTAGGAATTATTATTATTATCATCATCATCATTATTGTTATTACTCAATACTTTTTAAATTTCATACTCCTTCCGTTTGGAAAAAGTGTTCCTATTTTGACTTTGTGTAAAAATAAGGAAGTATTAAATTGTAGTTGACTTCCAATTTTGCCCTTGATGTGATAGGTAAAAGTAAGATGTGATGGATAGATTATTAGAGATAAAGTATGATGTGATAGATAGGGTATGAAAAAGTAAGGGTAAAAGTGGTTTTTTAATAGAAAGTGAAAGTGTTTTGTTGAAAGTGAAAAAAATGAAAGAGAAGTGTTTTAAAAAACGGAGGGAGTACTTTTTACTTGTTTAACTTAATATGATTCTTTCAAAAATTAAATTTAATTTCTCTTAAAAAATATGAGAAAAAAGAAAATGAAATTTTTGTACTATTATAATTTATGTAGAGAAAAATAAAATGATATGAAGCACAATTTTTTCTTAAAAATGAAAAAAAATAAACTTTAGAAACAAGTTTAATAGAAAACTAAGAAAGTAATCCTTAATTACTAGATGTCGGAAAAATTAATTTTAAAATACATTGCCAATGTCAATCTAATTCTAATTTTAAAATACATTTTTATTGCTGCCTATAATTTGAGTTTCTAAAGCTATTACATTATAAAATGTGAATGAAAAAATATTATTACATTATATTATTACATTATAATCTGAATGATTATTCTAAAATATCAATTAACTGATTTTTTTCATTAAAAAATAATCATAAAATAAAAAAATATTGAATATATTATAATATGAATTATCATTACAATTTTCAAAAGGTATTATAAAGTCCGATCAAATTATTGATTTGAGTTTTAAATAAAATCATAATTAATCAGATCAGATAAGACCAAATCAGATCAGATTCAATCACATCACATCTGATCAGATCCAATCAGAACAAATGAGATCAGATCCAACCAGATCAGATTAGATCTGATTTGATATGAACTACAAAAAATCAGATCAGATTAGAAAAAAAAGTTGAACGGAAAGGAGCCTTACTGAGCTTATTTTTTACTTATTCTTATCAGATTCAGATTCATTTAGATTAGTTTAGATCAGATTCATTCAAATCAATCTTGATCAGATGAATTCATTCAGACCAATTTTGATCAGATGAGATCCATTCAAATCAAAAAAGTACTTAAAAAATAAACAATATTCAAAAATTACTAATAATTAAAATAATAGTCATAATTAAAATAATACCAATAAGAATTATTATCAAATTTCTTAGTCCATGTGCCCACACCTTAGAGGGGGGGGTGAATAAGGCATTAGAAACTTTTTCGGAGTTTGATAAAATTGGTGTTGGCAAATGCGGAAGCAATAAATAAAACGCAAAATTAAAAGCGTAAAATAAATGACACCAATTTAATACTTGTTCGAAACTCCCGACTACAGTACCTCAAGGCTCCTCCTTAAAGATTTCTGAATCCACTAAGACTCGATCTCTTGAACTCCGTCAAAACACCACACTAGGTTGACAAACAACCCTTGCCAATAGGATTCACCCCGAGATTTCACAACGGCTATCTCGAACCGCTTACAATGAAGATTTGCATGCTATCTTCAACCTCTTCCCCCAAGGATTTGAAAGGCTATCCGTGAACCTTTTACCTAAGAATTTCTCGGCTATCCTTAACCGTTAAAACTTGAAAATTTGATGGTTATTCTCGATCGTAAGAATATGTGTTTGAACAACACAAAAATAGGTTCTACACAGTGCCTTGATCACATGGATGAAGAACAAGACTTAGCTGGTGTAGAACGAAAATATACTCTCTAGAAAAGATACAATATCAACCTATAGATATGAGACTATATATCTAATTCACAAGCTCAATAGTGTGTGTATAAAAAGAAAATATTAAAAATGAAGAACTAAAATATGAACACACTTAAAATATAAAGTAGGATGTTTGGAGCTTGGATTCTTGTTTAAATATGAAGGATTAAACCTAGTTGACAAGGTTAATTAGCCGTTGCAGATTAATTAGGATGGATTTTGACTAATTAAAGGTGATTAGATTTGAAATCCGAAATTTGAAAATTCTCCAACGGTAACGGTAGCATGGTATCGGCCTAACGGTATCTAGGTACCGGATGACGGTAGCTGGGTACCAGCTTAGGTGGTTGCAGGGTATCGACTCAGGCCATTTTGCTCTGGCAAAACTTGCACCTAGCAATAGCGAGGTACCGTCCAGACGGTAGCTGGGTACCGCTGCGGCGGTAGGGCGTACCAGAATAGGTACCGGCCCTCTGGCATGGTTTTCCCAAATTTTGCTTAAGTCTTTCTGTTTGAGTTTAAAACATTTTGGATATTTAAAAATGATTGTGAGATGGTTTTAAACATGTTTTAAACATGCTAGATAAAATCATATCCTTACATTTGTTTTCACCTATATTCTACGCTAGTTTAGTGTTTTAAATTCATTTTTGAGAACCGAATCTTAATGGATTCTTGTTGTACCTAAAACACTTAAACAAACGTTAGCTCATATATTGTTTGTAAACATCAAAATACGAGATTTAGCAAACCAAGGCTAACAAAATCATGATGTAAAACAAATAGAATAAACATAGAACTCAACGCAAAACCCTACGAATACCCCCATGTTCTCCAAAAAGAGTCTTGTTTCAAAACATTTATTCCATCTGTCCCAGATTCATATTATCACAATCCTTTTTTGGATGTCCTAATATAATCTTTGCACTTCTTGATAGAAATATGTGGTTCATATTATTTCTCCATGCACAAGTTTTAGCCATACAATTTTACATTTTTTAAACATCGAGCCATTTACACAAGAGAAGTTAATTTTGGGAGGAAGGGAGTACTACTTTTCATTAAAGAATAACAAGATATTGCTTAATCCAATTGTTTTGATTGGCAAGAAATGAAATATTTGCGCTATAAATGTAAAAGTGTAGTAAAAATAAAAGAGAAACAAGACCTAAAATGTATCCTATATTTTGCCATCTCCTCACAAGTCAAAACCCTTGCGCCTTTCCCTTGTCCTCAAACAAAAAAGAAGATATAAAAAAAGAGAAAGGAAAAAGAAGATAATGAAAGAAAGAACTGGAAAGAAAAGGCAAACTTTGCGAGTAACAGTAATCCAGACTACATTTGTCTTTAGGTTTTTCCATTTTTCATTACTTTGTTTTATTAAAAATGATAACTAGAATGGATGTGTGCACTAAAGAATCGATAGAAAAACACATGAGATCATGCAAAAGATAGAAGTGACATTTATTGAAGATAAGTTATGAGAGAATCAACTGTAGTGGCTTGGCCACATACAAAGAAGACCTTGTGATTCACAAGTTGGAAGACTTAAGCGTGGACTCAGTGGAGAAATGAATTTGCAAAAGAGGAATAGGAAAACACGAAAAGACGAGAGACAAGGTGATTTAGTAGCGATTTGTCATCTAAATTTGAATTAAAGAAATAGCAAGAGATTTTTTTGTAAATGACGAAGGGCTTGTTTTCTTCATCTTATTATTATCATTTACACCAGACCAAATCAAATAAAAACAACTTTAAATTGAACTTATTCTTATTACTTATACTAGACCAAATCAAATAAAAAAAACTTTAAATTTAACTAGGATCATATCAGACCAAATCAAAACTTGGGAAAATCAGATCAGACGAAGAGAACATGCCGTAAATGTGATACTTCTCTTGGTTCATGTTTCGACCCCAAGTTACTGGGGATAAGGTTTTGTTATTGTGGTATTACTACATTTTGTTTTTTTCTTTCTCTGATAAACATGTGGATATTTAAGTTAGAAAAAATGAGTCAGGTTGCCAAGACAATATTGACTGGGCAAAAAAATCGCTTATAGGTGTGCCAACAAGAACACTCTTCAAGAGAGTTAATAGGGTGAATGCCTTTATGTTGGCAGTAACCAACAATATCTTAACCCAACCTATTAACCTAATGGTTTTCATCCTTCATAATACTAGGTCTAACTATGGGTACCTTACCAAAACGAAAAATTTGTAGCTTGATCATCCATATTCTTCTTCTTTTAAGATGGAATTACTTGAATACTTTTTCTTCATTTTATACATTTTACCAATAATTTTAACAAAGCAATTCACTCAAACAATGCATGAACATAAAGCCAACGGAACCAACAAATAGAGGAAATGTATCATACCATTGTGGGAATAGACCTTCAGAACTCAGGAGGACAACTTTACTATGATTATCAGTGTATGCCATTTACTTGGTGTGCCCATAATGGAAGAGGGGCCTGGACGAAAATAGGTTGGTTAGACACAGGATGTGTGAATGATAATGTTTCTGCATGTAGTTCATGGCCACCAAATGTTTGACCCTTCCACTCATACACTCCTTCGTATTTCACATCTCCTCTAATAGGAATTCCAAGGTACTGGCAGTGGAGACGGATTTGATGGGTTCTTCCGCTCCGAGGGTATGCCCGAATCAAAACACTGTCTTTCTTAATACCCAAATCAGCCAAAGATTTCTCTTCAACAACCAATACCTCTCCCTTGTTTCCACATTCAGATATTGCCTCTGGGCACCCGACCCCATTAACAGATAGGACTTGGAAATAAGTCTCCATGTCTTTCACGGCTGACCCGCCGGGCAGAGACCTGCCCACATCTGATGCGGCATAAACACGCCATGCTCCGTGTTTTGACCGCCCGTGTCCCGACCTCACAGTGATTTGTCCCCATTTAGGTGCTTGTCCAACGCAAAAACCAAGATACGTCTTCCTAACTTTATGCTCTGTGAAAGCTTTAACCAGCTTAGCAGCTACTTTGTGTGACTTGGTGATTAGCATTACACCACTCGTGTCGCGATCAAGTCTGTTAGCTAGATGCAGTTCTGGCACTTTGGTCCCTGAACATAAAATGCATGTTTAGTATCAGGGAAATCTTCAATTCACATTTGTCTGGATCCAATTGTCCACTTAGGCTGTGTTTGGTTTGAGGGGATTCAAGGTGAGTAAAATCCTCACACTACATTTCCTTCCTCACCCCTCAGTCTCTTCTCCAGCAACCAAACTATGGGAGAAAGACCAAAGTAGGACTAAAACATTGAAAGTATATCAAAATAGGACTTCCACGTTTTTATTCCCGAAATTGGACTTAAATTACCAAACATGGTCATGTACATTACCAAAAAAGTATATTAATGTGCATCTGTACGTGCCACATTACCACAGTGCAAAATTCTTTTTCGGAAAAAAAAAATGAAAGTCCTATTTTGGTACTTTTCTCTATGTTTTAGTCTTATTTAGGATAATTTCTACCAAATTATTGTGAATTGTCAAAAACAATTTAAATAGCATATTAACATTGCTGTCAACAAACAAACTAATTTCAATGTTTCTTTTTGTTTTTTAACAGTCTTCTCTAAATTTAAGGTAATTTGGAAAGCTTACAACTAAATCCGGAAGGAATGAGCAGATAAACAAAAGAGACATTGTCAGAATAAGAGAGGAAACTCACTGAGTTCGTTATCCGAGTCGGTTAGAAGATTCGAGACAGCAGAGAGTACACTTTCGCAATAGACTCCCTGAGGCTTGTTGACGGCGAGGAGCCACTCGTCTTCGAAGACGACGTCGTTCAGGGAGAGAGAAAACGACGCCGATCTAGACGACGCCGTCAAGGCCCGGTCAAGCTCGATGTCCTTGGACAGCGACGGAAGCGGCGGAGACAGCGGCACTGGGTAATCATCGAGACCTTTGAGCTCCGGCGTGGGCTGACCTTCAATGGTGGCTTCGCTTGCCGCCATTGAGGCGTTGAGGAAATAGCGATGGAGTCTCAGAGGTCTGAAAGGAAGGCGTAGTGCGAAAGATGGGAGCAGAAAGTGGAGCGGGGGCATGCTAGTCATTTCATGTCACTATACCGAATGGACTGATTGAGTTTGAATACAATCAAAATAGAGATAGAAAATTTGCAAGAGCAATGCAACTTTTACAAACAAAATAATCACAAACTCCACAAATTTATTATTTATGATTTAAATTCTCATTTTAAAATTATTTTACACTATTTAATTTTCTTTATTGAAATTCGCAAATGATAAGTTTGTGAAGTTTGTGTTTGTGAACCAAGCATTTCCCAATTTGCAATGGAGTAACGTAGTAATCTTTCATACTCCGTAATATTTTTTGAGCAATGCCACCAAAGGTGTACCTCATTTGTCCCTCACTCCCTTCTCTACCACATATTTTTATTTCATTTTTAATTATTTATTTATTTTTATGTTTTTTTGCTCATTTATGTGGTGGAGGAGGGGTCTGGAGAAATGTGGTACACCTTCCCCTAGCAATTTTCTATTTTTTTGGTATGATTGATACTGAGCCTGTTTTTTGGATAAAATTTTAACGATACAGATTACTTTGAAAACGCTAATGCTAAACGCTGACCGTTGATAGTCTTTTCAAAACGCTGACGCTAATCTCTAACACTATTCTCAAACATGCCTACTATATATAATCATGATTTACAGTAACTCTTATTTTTGTGATAAAAAAGGAACTTTTATTTCGATATAATTTCAATGTTTTAGTAAAAAAGATTAAGGAGAAAATATTGAAAATATATCAAAATATGAGTTCTAAATTTTTATTCTCAAAATAGGAATTAAAATATATTTACAGTGACAATCATGACCATATACATTATCAAAAAATATTGTGAAGTGTTCATATATACTGCTACATTACCACAGTGTAAACTCCTATTTAGAATAAAAATATGGGTAATTACCTAAATAGTACTAAAATATAATGACTTTCTCAATATAGGTTTATATGTTTTTATCTAATGTAGGACCATTGGTCATTATTTATTAGTCATTATTCAACTAAATATCTAGCATCACTTGGATATTATTTTTCTCACTAGTCATTATTAAGTCCTATTTAGGAAATAAAAAAGTTTGAGTCCTACATTGGGAAATGACTTATGCTTTAGTTCTATTTAGTGCAAAATTTACTAAAAATATAGTACTTCTATTTTGGCACGTTCTTCATATTTTACTCATATTTAGGGCGATTTCTAGTATTTTATGCATACTTTGGTTTTTTCTTATGCAATTACTATGTATCAATCTTTTATTTAAAAGCATGGGAAATTTGACCATATTTTCACTTAGTAACTTTTCATTATAAATGGTAAGTGTGCATATATAAATATAGTGTCATAAATAAAGGACTATCCTTTATACACAGAAATGGTAATATAATTTATGATATTCATATAATAAATTATACGGAGTATGTAATTAAATACAAAATGGTTCTTTTGATCTTATCCACCCCACCATAGCACCCCCTCTCCATTTCGTCGATTGGCTACAGCATTATAGCCAAGTGGCAAAATGGAGAGGATGTTGTGGTGGGATGGGTAGGTAGGGGGCAGGGGAATAAGGTTTAGAAGAGGTAGAACCATCAATTTTGTAAACGAAGCATTGCAGAAGTCTCGGGTCATAATATGACCAAAGATTCTAAGATTAAAAAATCATTGCCCAATTAAATAATATGTATATAGTAACATAAATAAATAATATGATCCTAAATATATAATATAAATAACAAATATATTTTCACTTCTTTGTATGTATAAACGTAAAAATGAATAAAATAAGTCTGGGTAATAATGATGCTCACCCAGTTCTCAAGAGAGATATACTTTGGTGTCTTAGTTTAATTATTCAAGTGAATGAGGAGATAGAAGGGATGTTATGCACCGTGCAACACCCTAAAACATGGCTTAAAAGTTACTTTATGATAAAAAAAAATTTAAAATTATATTTTGACTCAACAATGTATTATTTCTACGTTTTACAAAAAATTAAGGAACTTTTCAGGTTAATAATCTGTTGCTAAATCTGATTTACGTATTTTGAGTTATGACATTTTTAAAATATTAAAAATGTAACTTGTATAAAATCAAGAATTGATTAATTTGGTGAACTCCTTAAAAATGATTTTTTGAAATAAATCATTAAATTGAATAATATTAATTGATTATGAGAATCCTTTTAAATGTATGTCAATTAGATCAATTTTAACTCTATCAAAATCAAACACCCCAACGGTGTAATCAGAATTCAATTTGGAAAAAGTTGAACCAAAAAGTGTACCCCAATTGAGACAATTTTAATTCCAATTGGGAAGAAGCGTCTAAAATCCACCAAAATCACACCAGGCCGCACCACAAATCCGAGAATTGAAATTTGGGAAGATAACATTTATGGTCTCTTCCTCATTCATTCTAGCCTATATAAGGAGACCATTTCTCCTCCAATTCACCAACAATCTTCTTCATTCTTCTTCTTATAGTTTCATTAGAGTATAGAGAATAGGCCGCTATAGTTCACTGCAGTCGAAGCCGCTGGAGTTAGTTGTGGTTCTTTCCAAAAGTTGCCTTGAAAAGTTGAAAAGAAGAAACAAACCCTTGTGCAAATCCTTCTATATACAATGCTAGGTGCATTTTTGTGTGTGCGTGTATATATGTGTGTATATATATATATATATATATATAAAGATCTAATAAATACATATCTAAAGATCTAAAAAATATATAGATCCCGTAATGTAAATCGGAAGATATATTTATGCAATGAACACAAAATAATAAATCACACGAAACCAAACTGGATTTGTTTAAGTGAAAATAAGATTAAATTAAAATTGTGCCCAAATCGTGCAAAAAATTGATGTTGAACAAAACAAAGTTGGAAATGAAACCATACATGTATGCACCGCCAAAAACAATCGATTGGTGGGAGAAATGTTAGAGAAAGATCTGAAATGTTGGGAGAAATGTTGAGGATATGATCTTAGTTTAAGATAGTCAGCCTTAGTTTTGAAACAATCGGTTGGTGGGAGAAATGTTGAGGATATGATCTTAGTTTAAGATAGTCAGTCTTCTGCTCTTACTGTTGTGTACTTTCCTTTGTGACTTTATTTTTTCCCCTTGTTTTTGTTTCTTGTGTTTTGTGGTTTCCATTCTTAGCTTGCTCTTTCCTTTGTGCTCTGTGCTTTATGTTTTATTCGAGTTGGGGGTCTATTGGAAACAGTCTTTCTACTTTTAAGTAGGGGCAAGATCCTGCGTAACCCACTCTCTCTACATCTTACTTTCACAAGATTACACTAGGTTGTTGTTGTTATTATTGAACATAATAATATACGGAGTAAATGATATTTCCTCCGTCCCAGAGTATTTGTCCACTTTCATTTTTACACACCATCCAATGTACTTCTTTAATCCATTTTATCTTGTAATTTGTATATTAAAAAATTATAGAAATTATATATTAATAATATATATGTTAAGACAAATCAAACAAGATCACACATGACTATATTTAGGCTAACACATTGAGAGAATTTGATAAGTCAAAGTGCTTAAATGAACAGTTCTAAAAGTCAAAAATAGACAAAAAATGGAGGACAAAAGGAGTATAATTTACGTTTATCATAATATAAATAAAGATGACAACATAAATAGGATTGATCTTGGGTTTTCTTATAGCATAAATGGTAACAAAATTTGGAGTCGAATTTTGATTGCATTTAGTTCCTCTAGCTTGTGCGGTTGTGCCCGTGACCAAGTCCCAGTTCCTTCTTCTCTCCCCGTTTAACGAAGCCGATGGCCCGCTGTTTTACCTGTTTATAATCTACATCAGCCATGGCGACGAGGCCGCATTCCAGGTCGCTGATTCTCCGGGCCGCGCCTTTCTTGGCCTCCCGGATCCGCCAAAATGCCACGCTTCTTCGTTCTAGACTATCTTCATCCTCTGCGATGCCGGAACAGCAGCCTGAACACAAATCTCAGAACGATTCCGTTTTCATGACTGAGAATTGCGTCCGGGTATGCAAAATCTTTTCATTGCTTCTTCTTTTTCCGGAAAATTTCATTTTATTTTGTGTAATTGTTTCTTTTCCTTGTCGGTATTGTGTGTAATTGCTATTCATCCATTTTTATGCATATTGATTATGCAATAAAATCAAGTATTCAGGCAGGTCTAATCGACATGCTTATAGGGTTGCCATATGAGAAACTAAGTTGGATAGTTTTTGACAATCTGAATTTAGGTTAGAGAATTCTGAAAGCTTATATGCCTATGATGTAGCTTAGGAAATGGTTCAATCACTTAAGCTTAGTCGTGTTTGGCCTAAGATCTGAGGAAGGGGAAATTTAGTTGGTTGAATTGGTTTAGTCAATACAATGAGAACAACAACAACAACAACAACAACAACAACCGAGTTGGGTCCTAGAAAAGTAGGGTCTGGGGAGGGTGTGTGCACGCAAACCTTGCCCCTACTCGACCGTAGGTGGTTTAGTCAACACATTCAGCTCAAATGCCTTTAGTTTCACTTGCTCTTTCTGCTGATATCATGTTATGAATTTGGTTTTGTTCTGCTTCAAAGGCAATTTGCCCACCATAGAGAATAACATAGTTCTCAAAATTTGTTTTTTAATTCCTTTACTTCACATGATTTTGATAATACAAATACAACAACACCAGCACCACCACCACCAACAAACCGAATATAATCCCAACTCTGTTTGGGTCTAGAGGTGGGAGGTCAAGATGTATGCAACCTTATATTTGTAAAAGAGTTTGTTTTTGTTAGACCCGTGATGCATTGCTGCATTAATGATTCTGATAATGTAGTTCAAATGATTTAGAGAATGAAGGAGTTGCAAGCCAGTGAGCCCGAGGAAAAGATGCTTCGCTTAAGCATTGAAGCTGGTGGCTGCTCTGGGTTTCAGTATGAATTCTCCCTAGATGGCAAAGCGAATGCAGATGATAGGTATCATCTTGCACCTGCACTTCTGAGGTTATACTTGTTTTGTAATTGCCCACCATTAACTGCTTCCCTCATTACTTCCATCTCTGTAGTGCTGTGTTTATGGAAGCTATTTGGGCAATTTTAATGTTCTTTATGTTTTTTCACTTCATTCAGACTGTTGTCAGGTATTCATTTTTTACGAATACTGATTTTTTCTTCTGTTTCCCAAATTTGAATGTGTAGAATATTTGAGAAGGATGGAGTTAAACTTGTGGTCGATAATATTTCGTTTGATTTTGTCAAAGGTGCAACAGTTGACTACGTAGAGGAGCTCATCCGTTCTGCTTTTCAGGTTTGTAACTTGAATTAAGTGTCTATGCCTCTGACTGCATTGTTGAACCGAAATTTGGAAATCATAAAGTTTTTCTAGTCATCACAAATGTGTTCTGTTAAGCAGTAACTGAGCCTCTCATTGATGTGCAGGTATCTACAAATCCAAGTGCTGTAGGTGGATGTAGCTGCAAAAGCTCTTTTATGGTGAAATAGTAAATGGATACTCTCTCAATAAGGTGCATCTGCCTTTTTAAACCTACATTGAGTTCACATACTCAAATATGTGTGTGTGTGTCTATACATACATCTATGTATATATATATATACACATATATATACATATGTATATATGTATATATATGTATGTATATTATATGTATGTATGTATACTCCTTCTGTCCCATATCTTTCTTCTCATTTTGACTTTCGTGGTCAATTTTTTAAACCTTGACCACAAATACGGGGAAAAAAATTAAATAGTGATATAAATTTAATTATCAATAGAATCATTTTGAAACAAAGTTTTTAAAAACATATTTTTATAATCTATATTTATATAAAAATAGAGATATTAATGGTCAAATTGTCGCATTGAAGCCCATGAAAAGTTAAATGAGAAGAAAGATATGGGATGGGAGTAGTACACACACACATACACCCTCTGTTCTAGGAAAAGTTTTCTGATTTGATTCAAGATATTTGACCAAAACTATTTTTGGTTGAATTTATTTGAAAATGGGTGTAAATTTATAAAGTACTCCCGTAAAATTTATATACACGGTATTAAGATGTTCTCCCTTCATCCCAGAATTATCTTCACATTTACTATTTTGGCCTCTCGATAATTTTGGTTTGTTTGCATGTTTTTGTTGATTGTTTGTTAAAATAAAATAATAGTGTCACCTCTTGTTTTATAGAACTTTTGATGTTGTCTTTAAATATGTAATTTGTATTTTTTATATCGAATTGTAAACAAACTAGGTTTAAAAGAGATGGGATTTTGTACGTTGTTCAAAATGAAACCATAATTTTGGGACGGAGGGAGTACATCAAAAGTTCGACCACACAATTTTATTGGCCAAATGGTGAAAATACATAGCAAAAAAACAAAGTCTTATCGAGTGATTATAATGTCTGATTTTTTTCCTGAGACGGAATGAGTATCTTTGTTATCACCTTCAACTTGCTCTCCTCATACCTTACAATGGAATGGACATTGTGGCAGGTGCGTACCGAATGAAACGGACTCGGGTGAATGAATATTGTTCGTCAATGATTTTGGAACCTCCAATGTGTATTTATTCAAATCAATAGATAGATGTTAATGTGTCAAAACTCAGATTTGATAGCTACAACTTTTCTTTGTAACTGCCTTGCTTGTCTGTTTGGTAATAAGTTTATGTTTACTTTGGTCTCCCTACCAAACATAAACACCAAGGCTAGCTGTAGACATATGATTTTTTTTTAAATTTTATATAGAGACTCAAGTTTGCCAGGTAAATTACATGTTTAAAATGCCTGTTGAAATTGGGGCAATATATAGGCTGTATTTGTACTACTTTTGCTCAGGATTTACAGCTCAAAGAAGATATATCATTACATGGCCGGCCCCTTTGTCCCATCTTTTCTTCTTGTATGAACTTGACAAGTTTGTTTAATGAAGTAGAAATTGTGCCTTGTTGATATTTATGTGGAGAAGAGATAGATGGTATTAATCACACAATCCTTTCTTCAATGGGGGGAAGTAGAAGAAAATGTTGGGACTACCAACTTCTTTTTCCTTCTTTTTTTTAAGTTTTAGTTTTTTTTTTTTAATTTTTTAGTTTATGTTTCAACTTTTGTTTTTCAATATTTAATTTTTAAAAAAGGATGAGCCTCACATCTGAAGGCCCTCTCAAACTCAATCGGACGGTCACTGAGAGAAGTTAAATTGGACTTTAATTGCATATTGGTGGTAGTCTGGCAGAGTCTGGAGATATCTTGAAATACTATATTATACTCTTTGTTCAGGGGCTTGCATCATTATTACTCCTTTCTTCTGAAAAAATTTTTCCAATTCGCTTTAGGAGATTTGATTCAAGTTATTTTCAATTCAATTTGTTTATTCATTAGTGTATAATTCAAAAATATAATTAATAATTTTAAAAAATTATGTAAAACAAGATGTGACATGATTATACTTCGGGGTATCATATTATGAAATGAATAATGAAAATACTTAAACAAAGTTAATAAAGTTTGACTTTTTGAATAATGAATTAAAACACATTTCCGGACAGAGGTAGTGTCAATTAATGCAATTATTAGGCCCAAGCCACCGAAGTCCAAGCAATTGGATTAAGAGCATGAGCAATGGTGAGGTAAAAATGGAATGTCACACGCTGATGTGGAATATTTCAACCAATAAAAAATAGTTCAATCAACGAGTGGCAATAGAGTGGTGTGGTATGCTCTGCAGTGGCAAGTAGTGTTTTTATTATTTTTTTTGTTTTTTTTCATATTTGAATTATTTGAAGTTATTTAACATGTTTATTTTATCATAAAAATACTATCTCCGTTCACAAATAAACTTCTCGTTCACTATTCACAGAGTCAAAGTTTATTCACTTTGTCGGCCTATTTTCGCCACCTATTTAATAAAATAATATAGTCATGTGACCTCTAGTTTTGTAGTAGATCTTTTGATATACTTTTTTAATATGTAATTTTTATTTTTGAATTTTACACCATTTTTCATATAAAATGATTTGAAAATAACTTCAGTTAAATATCGTAACGCGCAACGGGGAGTTTATTTGTGGAGGGAGGGAGTATTTCTATTAACTCAAAATTATTTATTGTATTTTTTTCATAAAAATACTTCTACTTTTTTTAAAAAAACTTCTTTTTTGATGCAAACAAATAAAATGACAATAATTTTTTCTCACTTTTTATTTTTCTTTAAGTATTTTGATTATTTGAAATTATTATTGTTATTTATTTTATCATAAAAAAGGTTATAAGGAGTCCTTCGTTAAAAAAATCATTTAAAAGTCTCTCTTATCAAAAAATGGAAAAAATGAAAAAAAGAAAAAGAAAAAAGGAACAAGAAGGCTCGTGGATGACATGGTAAGGGAGGAGAATTTCTATCTTTACGCATGGCAATGGACCAAAGATGCTGAGGTGGCAGGGCGTGGGAATGCATCTTCACGCTGCTGCTGATGCTCCAAGGTGAAGCCAAAGTGAATGGGTCGGATCAAACCCGATCCAAAAGTGAAATTTAACCCACCAAGCCTTGAGTGAGGGTGGCGTTTAGGTGAGGAGAAAGTGAGTCTTGAGATATCTTGAAATGATAGTCGTCCCGTGTTACTATAAATAAACTCTCCAAACAAGGAAAAAAGATCAAATTATTAATAGAGCAAGAGTCTCTATAGCTTCATCTATCCAAGTAATACTCCCTCCGTGACTCTTAGACTTAATGATGTTTAAAGGACTTGTTAGAAAGTAAAAATATGTGAGGTTAAATTTGTTCAGAAGAGAAAGAATAACTAGTAGTCACGTATTTATTACCAACATAGTAAAGAATAAATTAAGTGTTAGAAACTTTGTAAGATGTTCAAAAGATAAAAGTATAAAGAATTTTATGTGACAGAAGAAGTACATCATAAATTACTCTAAGTTCGTGAAAATGTTTTTTGGTGTATTAAATCGATCCAATTGGGGTTTAGCACCTTTAATATGGTACATTTACTCCGTAATTATTTTGAGCAAGCCTAAGGGTTGGATTAGGGGTGAGCAAGTACCAAACCGATACCGAAATTTTCCGAAAAAACCGAGAATACCGAACCGAAAAAGTACCGAGAAGAAACCGAACCGTACCGAACCAAATGGTCGGTACGGTATTTGGGAACGGTACGAGGTGATGTCCCATACCGAAAATCCCGAACCGAACATATATACTAAAATATTATAAAAAATACTCCGTAATACCCCAGAGTAATATTTTTCATATTCCTTCACTAAATAATACTCCGTAATTTTTTTAAAAAAAGATTGGTTCAAGTTTTATTATGTGCAAGTTATACTTTTATTTGAGTTTTAGTTTTTGTGTATGAACATAAAAGTATTCACAAAGATTCGAAAAACCCTTTGTTGTCGTTCATTTTTTTAGTTTGTGAAATATAAACTAAATTTTGATACGCATCTCTTGCATTTAAATATTCATTTTTTAATTTTTCATGTTTTTTTATTTAAATTCACTTTTAATTTTCAAAAATAAAGGGGCATGGTTAAATTTTAAGGTGTAAAGTAGGTATGTTATTCATCCCGATTTGTACCGAAACCGATACCGAACCATCCCGAACCATACCGAACCGATATGTCGGGATTGGGATCGGTACGGAGTAAAATCTCATACCGAACCGAAATATTTGGTACAGTATCGGTATGGGTTAAATACCGTATCATGCTCACCCCTAGGTTGGATGTAAAGGAATATACAAAGTATATTGAAGATTTGAAAGAAATTGCGAAGGATGGTTTTGAACTATCATTCTAAGTACCACTAGCTAGATACAATTTGAAGTACTACTCCGTATGAGCTAGACGACCATGCATAGCATGAAATCCTTGCAAGTATCCGAGACAGATTAAGTCTTTTTTATTTATTAATAAATTTAAATTTATTTTCGAGATTATTGTATGAACCAATCTTAGGAGACCTAAGGTGCAAACCCGGGTGATATTTATTCCTCAGAATATTGCTAGGAGTACACCTTTCCAAATGTACACCACTATCTTCTCCACCACCAATTTTTATTTAATTTTTATTTATTTTTTTTTTTTAAATTTCTTGCCAATTTATGTGGACAAGGAGGGGGTGGGGGATATTTGGGGTACACAAAGGTGTACCCCTAGCATTTTTCTAATCCTCATTTTTTGAGTAGTAGCTAGACGACTTTGAAATATTGTGAGCAATACACTAGCAAGTAATTGCCCTATGGTAGCCAAAAACACCCTTATTACTCCACATGAGACTAGCTTCCATTGACAGTTTTAACACAACCCTTGAAAAGCTTTATGTTGCTGCATTCAGGCTGTACTTGGTAGGTTTATCTATGTCCTTTTTCACCTATTCTCGACTTCAGCTCTGGCTTAAGAAAATCTTCTCATTTCCCCATTGAGAAGATTATACTCTTTTGATGATCTTCCATGACCTCTCTCATGGTAACATTTTATGTGTTGATTGTTTTGAAAGTCATACAAGGCCAGAAACTTCATCAATAGATATAAGTAAACCCCGGATGGGGGAGGCGAAGGACAATCTTGGAAATTTGCATAATTCTCTTAAATTCAATTAAAAGTTGAAACACAATATGTACTCTCATCAAGGCTCTCTCTTCTAGCCTTTATTGTATGTTGAGAAAATTGAATGTATGGCCAAAATAAACTATTGGACTGCCAGTTCCAGTTAGTACAATGAATGAATACAAACAAGTTGTTGATGTTGGTATGAACTGGAGAGCAAAGTATGACATCTGGTGCACATGACTCATGTGGTTAATCCTTCAACTTGCGTGCTATCAATTGTCTATCTTTTGGCTGTCGCTGAAAGCCACGTCGAAAATTTGGCTATAATCATTGACAAAATGAACTTCGAGGCCCTCCTTCACATTTGATGCAAGTTCATCAAAATCTCTTCGGTTGGCTTCTGGGAATATGATGGTCTTCACACCACTACGCCTTGCTGCTATTGTCTTCTCCTTCACCTATTATTTACCAAAAAAATAAAACATTCAGAAACGTAGTGAAGACCATGCATTGTAAACTACAAATATTGGATGGTGTGGTTCGGTGCCTGTTAGGTGGAACTTAATGCACGCGTACCAGCCTTATCATCTAGATTTTGTTACCAAACACTAACTTACTTAAATGTGAACGCACATTAGATATTGAAAGCACAGGGTAAGAAGTGATTTTAAGCTGCAGTTATGGTCTTCTACTCTTATTTTTAGTCATTATTTTCTTTGACGTATTAAAAAAATACTATATGTTTCCCCTAAAACTTGGCGTTATCTATTTCAGACAAACTTGTCCTTTGCAAGAGGGACTATGCAGTATACGCATTATCCCATTCCAAAAAAAAAAGCCAGTGTTTCTAAAATTAAAAATGGCACTGCAAAGATTTCACAAGACAAAGGAGTAGATAACATACCCCGCCAATGGGAAGGATCTTTCCCATGAGAGTGACTTCCCCAGTCATGGCTAGATCCTTTTTGACATGTGTATTCATGGCAAGAGACAACAAGGAGGTGATCATGGTGCAACCAGCACTTGGACCATCCTTTGGGGTAGCTCCTGCAGGAACATGAAGATGAAGTTTGCTATTGGAAAAGAAAGGGTTTTCGGGATCCTTTTCATGCAATATGGACCGGGCAACTGTGTGTGCAATCTGTGCACTTTCTTTCATCACGTCTCCAAGTTGTCCTGTCAGATTGAGCGCCCCTTTGCCATCTCCTTTCTCCACCAGAGTAGTCTCTATATACAATGTTGACCCACCCATTGCAGTCCAAGCAAGACCCATTACAACTCCAATTGGGGTATATTCATAGATGCGCTCCGCGTGAAACACTGGCTTGCCAACATAATCCGCTAGGTTTGATGAGTCCACGACCACCTTTTGTATTGTTGGAGCTTC